GTACTTGACCCGATTGTGAGCATGGTCCTTTTGGGTTGCCTTCACCATAGCAACTAATAGGATGAATTAAGGAGAAAGAGGATTAATTTTGATTTATTAATATATTATAAGAATAATATGTTAAAAGAGAAATCATATTGTTTAATTAATATTAGTCAAGAATTAATTAAGAATTAATTTTGTGGCTAAAAGAGATTAATTAAACTTAGGGGTCTGGAATTGTAATTATAAGATAATTGCAATTGGGCTATGGATCACCTTGGAACATAGGTTGGACAAATTCTATGGGAAGCCCATAAGGAATTCGTCCAAGGGGTGTTCTAGAAGGAGTCCATGGGCTGCTTAGGGCCTAAGCAGTCAAATTAGGGTTTCCTAGTTAAAAACCCTAATAGCCTAACTATATAAGGAACCCCTAAGGCCCCAAAGACGTGTGGAAGTAATCCCTAAGGGTTCTTAGACGTTTTTGTGCCTCCTCCTCATTCTCTTAAGTCATCTTGTTGCTCATAGTGTTTGTGATTCCATTAGAGGTGCAACATTTGAGGCACTAAGCTTTCAAGAGTCAAGATCAAGGAGATTTGTGATTGTTATTACTACATAACAATCAAGGCAAGATCAAAATCCTAATTCACATGTTAATTCGATTATTGTATGCTAGATCTAGGGTTTATGAGCTTTGGAAAATTATTTCATGTTCATTAGTCAAACTAGATCCAAAGCTTTAGGGTTTGCATGTACACCATATGATTGATGTAATGCTCAAAACCCATCACTTATGTACCTTGGATTTAACTTTCCACCCTTTCCGAAACATATCATGCCTTTCCAGGGAGAGACCTTCAATAGAACGCGGTCACCAACCTGGAATTCCAAGGGTTTTCGTCTCTTATCAGCGTAACTCTTTTGTCTATCTTTAGAAGCTTTTAGTCGTTCTCGGATTTGTACGATCTTTTCTGTGGTTTCTGGAATGATTTCCGGGCTAGCGAGAATGCTGTCAAGGACTTGTCCCTTAGCCAAATGCGTATCGCCTACTTCAGCCCAGCATATAGGGGATCTGTATTTACGGCCATAGAGGGCTTCAAAGGGGGCAACCTTAATGCTAGACTGGTAACTGTTGTTGTATGAAAATTCGACAAGTGGTAAGTGGGTATCCCATGCTTTACCAAAGTCAATCACACAGGCTCTCAACATGTCTTATAGTGTTTGAATGGTTCTCTCACTTTGCCCGTCGGTCTGTGGATGGTAGGCTATGCTCATGTCCAGCCTAGTTGTTTACCAATTACATCAAAGGCTTGGACTAAATGGATTGGGTTGGATTTGGTGATTGGGCTAGTCAAATTGATCTTGAAAGACTTAGATTAATATATATATATATATATATATATATATATATATATATATATATATATATATATATATATATATATTTAATGGTCGAAAGATTGGCCTTGGGCCTCTTGAGGTCTCATTTGACTAGTTACATTATTATATATATATATATATATATATATATATATATATATATATATATATATATATTAATTTTGATTTTGACTTTTATTTTTATATTAAAAAAATCTGTTAAATTCGTTTTAACTGTCTTGACAGTTATTTTCGGTTGGCAGTTTTTGGAGGGAAAAACAGTCAATGTATATCTATAAATAGATCACCAAAGACCAGATTTTGGGTAGAAAAACCACACATATTCCTCATATAATTTCGTATTCCACAAACAATGAAGGGAACATAGTGAATTTCGTCAGAATCAAGAGAAAATCTTTGTTGATTCTTGTATCCTCTTGACAGATCCCTACCAGGGAAATTTCTGTCTTAGGACACTGCAAAGCAGGCCTCAATCTGTACAATTTCGTGAATATTTTTTCAGTGTAGTCATCATACAAGTATGTTTTCTATAAACTGGTTCTTGTATATTACATATATTTGAATTTCGTTTGTTTTATTTCTATTGGTTTTGTTGATTGTATACTTCTGTCATAACATGAACTCCACAAGATTGCATTGTATATATGCATTATACATGAAATAAAATAGAAAGTTATGTAATAGTTTGAAATGTAACACATTTTAAAGCAAAGAGCTACATAACATGAACTCTACAAGATTGCATTGTATATATGCATGATACATGAAATTAAATAGAAAGTTATGTAATAGTTTGAAATGTAACACATGTTAAAGCAAAGAGCTATGATACGTGCATGTTAGGCTGTAAGATTGCATTGCATAGCGGTATGAACTCCACAAGATTGCATTGCATATATGCATGCTACGTTGAAATAAAATAGAAAGTTATGTAATCGTTTGAAATGTAACACATTTTAAAGCAAAGAGCTATAGAGTATGTTTTAAATCAAAGAGCTATGAAGTATGATTTATGTTTAATAGCAAAAATCTATGAAGTACATTTTAAAGTAAATTTTTATGAAGTATGTTTTAAAGAAAATGTTTATGAAGTACGTTTTAAATTAAAGGTTTATGATGTATGTTTTAAAGCAAATGGTTGTGGATTATGTTTTAAAGTAAGGATTTGAAATGTTATTTTGTGCCCAAACATATGTATCCCATGATACAAATTTTTGTTTTACATATTATTGTTTTAATACCATCCACTCCATGTTAATGATAACAATAAATAAAATGGATTTAGTTTCAACATGAGTTTTTATTATTAACTTATTTGACTTTGAGGATTAGAATTAGAGAAGAAATTAGAGTTTATTTTTAGTATATTTTTTGTAATTATGTATGGATTCTCTATGGCTCTGTGATGGTCAATGTAGCTCCCTGCAGGTTAGGACTAGTTCCACTTTTTATGTGTTTTGGACCGAACTTCTACACTAGACATTGACATTATTGAAATTAATGTCTTATCTGTTATGATAATCATCATGTGATATAATGTTGGGGTGTTATTATTATTTCCTAAGTAAAAAACCTCCTCGACCATTTCTAATAAGTATATATATATATATATATATATATATATATATATATATATATATATATATATATATATATATAACTCTTAAACTCCCCATACCAAGACCCCAAATCCAAATTAGTGAGAGTTTTTGCCAAACAACTCGAACCACTTGTATTACATAATATACATAAGTATTAAGAAACTTACTTTTTATAATAATGGACAACCCCATATTGAAGCTATGAGATTTAAACATCGAGGAAGTTTTTTAAGTAGTAAATTCCAAACTGATCGCTACTTAATTTTGCGACATTGATGATAAACTAGAGACCTTTATAATAGCTTTGTATGATCATCGTGAATCATTTGTAACCTTAACTTACAACAATACTTATCTTACAGGACTTCCATGTACGCTTCAACATGAGTTTGCTTTAACTCATGTTTCAAACATGTAGCTCTTCCACATCATAACTTCAACTCACTTGATACTTGGTTCATTTCATTAACTACGAGTATTATTTATACTTTTATGAGTCTCACTCACTTCTTTCATCACCAAGAGTACTTCTTAATTAGTTATAAACAAATAAGGTGAATAAAAAATAACCTTCAATCCAATTCAATCCAATGTGCACCAAAATTAGCGGACATAACAATTTATTACTACTCTTAAAACGACACAATGAATTATATTTCGTTGTTATATTAGTAAATTACCAATAACTTCACTGTGATTCAAAAATTTATCAATGGCTTGAGAAATGTTAGGCAAGAAGATTCTTTAATCAAATTATTTTGAGATATAGACAGAGCTAAAGTATATTGTTTTTTTTTTCAATCAAACATTTTTTTTATTTCTTAGATCAAAACAAACACTACTAGAAAAACAGCCTTTTAGGACGCGCAATGCGTGTCGTAAAACGCTCAGACGACGCACAAATGTGTGTCAAGGAAGACCCTGTCATAACGAGAGACGACACGCTTTTGCGCGTCGTCTATAGACAACGCGCATTTACGACACACAGTTACGACGACGCTCATTTACGACACGCAATGCGTATCAAGGAATGCCCTGTCATAAAGGAAGACGACACACATTTGCGTGTCGTAACCTTACGACGCACGTTTACGACACGCAATGTGTATCAAGGAATGCCCTGTCATAAAGGAAGACGACACGCATTTGCGTGTCGTAACCTTACGACGCACGTTTACGACACGCTATGCATATCATTAAGTCCCCTGTCATAAAGGAAGATGACACACATTTTTGGGTGTCATAATCTTATATGTTTCAATATATATATATTTTTTACAGATTTAATAATTTTCAAATTAAATTAACATTTAATGTCTCATAATACAAAATAAAATATCATATATAAAAATACAATCCATTGCACAAACTTAAATGTCATACAAATTAATAATCGTATCAATAGTAATAAATGTAATATCAAGTGTGAAGGAGATGAAAATCATCAACAAATAATAGTAGAACCACAAGAACTTGGTCACCACCTTCACAAAATCCGAGCTACTTTGTTTTACACCACGCACATCAACAAGACCTGTAAATTTGAATCATGCAACCATTAGATTCACATATTGAGAAATCAAAGTATACTATGTTATTTCTTACATTTAAGCTTCTTATATGTAATAAGATGAAATAAAAGTAGGATGTTATAATAAACACTCATATATAGCTTAGTAGATTAAGACTAGTCCACATTTAGTCTATTAAGTAAAATAAAATAGAAACAAGACTTCAATTATAAGGATGAGTATGGGTTAGAAACCTCCACCACCATAAATGTCAGAGTTCTGAACCAGTCTGATAGGCTGTAACAAGACTTCAATTATAAGGATGAGAAGGTGGAAGTAAGATAGACCTCAAGAAGAAACAGTCTGATAGACATCTGTAACCAGCTAATCTGATGATCACAATTAATATTTCGTAAGTTAAGAGTTTTTGGACTTTTAAAACATGTCATACCGTAATAATCTAGCATGTCCTTCAGCAGCTTTTGACTCAAAAACATGTTCCTTAGTTTCAGCAAAAAGATTTTTGAGCTTTTTCAATGAGTTTTATACGTGGAGTATGAAGTGGAGATCCTCTAGTTGCCATTGGATTCTTTGCTAATTCCCATGATTCTTTCCACAACAAGTAGGCAACATCCTACATTCAACAACACTTAATTACATACAAACTTCTACTTTTGTTTTACCAAATCAAATCTCAGTGTTTATCAAAACAGACTTACATGAAGTTGACCAGTAGAAAGAAAGAAATCCTTGAGAAACTCATGCTTATAGCACCTGAAATAATAGACACATTCATCAAAAAAAATCTTCATATTCTCATATGAAATTAAATAGAAAAACTTATATAGTCTTTACCTTGCATAACGTATGAATAGATCGCGTGCAATAGGTCTAGCTTGTATCATTCCAAATAATTCCAATGTTGGTCTCTATACAAGCCAATAATTTGAGAATTTAATTTAATATTATTTTATAATTAATCAAATAAGAAAACAATAAATACCTTCTGCCATATATGAAAGAGAACAAGATAAACAAGATCAGTATCGCCACTTTCAGTTGCCTTAGTCAGGGTTGTATCTTCTTCCCCAATGCCTAGTAACAGAGGAACCTGGAAAAGTGATATTCAATCATATTATATACTATATCATTCATTCAATTTTGCATATATTGAATTTTTCAACTTCATATATAAGTAATAAACCCTAAACCTGCTTTGAGGAGAAAGGTTCATGTTCAACAAGCATAGCAGCTAATTTCCTCCTGCTAGTCTGATCTGCATGAGCAGCAACTGCAGCATAAGAAATGCTTCTGCACAATTTTAACTGAAAATCCCAAAAAGTTAGCCATTGACATTTTTTAGTGTACTTTAATCCTATAAAACTTTGAACAAACCTTATCAAGTAAAATTTCAAGGAGAGTAGCATCAGGAACAACTGATGATACTGTGAGCTTTGAACAAGCCCAGTGCATGATCTAAGTTGGATTATTGGTGTAAATGTAACGCTGTGCATATGGAAGGGCCCACGTTATTAATGAAGCTTTGAAACTACTGTCTGTTGGGTCATAGTATATTGCTTCACATGTCACAACCTGTAAAACTAGAGAGTGTGTGTGTGAGAGAGAGAAAGAGAGAAAGAGATTCCAATGTGTGTATGAGAGAGAAAGAGAGTAAGATGTACCTCAGAAAGCAAAGGGATTCCGAGATTCAGAAGTAAGATAGAAATCTTATCCTGAAGGATTTGTTTTTCTTCAGGATTAAGATCCCCAAAAGATAGAAAATCGACATTGTTCAAGTTCTTGAATTCTTTTTTCAGATATTCATCATCACACCAACATAAAAGAACAAAGGATTCATGTAAAGAAACCCATTTATCTTGTACAGTTAGCAACTTTATTTTGCCCACATATCAAAACAACGGGCCCCTATATCTGGTTAAACATTTCCTGAAGTCTATTCATAAATTCTTTTCGGTTTGACTTAGAAACAGCTCTTGACAACCATAAAGATGAGTATGGGAAATACACAATAAGAGGTTGCACAGACTTCAACACCTACAATCATAATAAGATAATTAACAAACAAACAAAATACTTGTTTTACTTTTCATTTATATGTCATAATGAACATAGTCTGAACTACAAAAAGAAGCATGTATGCAACGTCGGATAATGCCTGCATTGCAATATAACAATCTTCAGCTTCAGTATCAATATCACGCTCAACATGCTTAGCTGCATATAAACAACAACATTTACATTTCCATCTTCATCTTTCATTACAACATTCAATAATGTTGTTAGATATACAAAAAGAAAATTACCAAGAAGCCAATATATTGATGGTTTTGCAGATTGATCATTGTCTTCTGTGCTATCAAGGATAACTGCAACTCTTTCCCCACTAATCTCATAAATCTCCCCACGTTGACCAGTGCCTAAAGGTCTGAAAAAGAAAATAAAATTACCAGAAACAGATTAACACCAATAACTCTATTTATATAGGATAAGTTTTATAACTACATTTACAATCATAAACAAGTAAAACCAAAAGCAAATCAAGAAAGAAAGAAAGATTTAAGTACATGAAACTATTGGAATCTTGATATACATACATTTATCAATAGTTGTTTTTTTTTTTTTTATTATTATTTCATACAACTTACCAACCCACCTACGTGAAATAACGGTATATGCATTTGTGGGACCATCAGACGTTGCTATCGACCCCAATTTTATCATGTGATGCATTCAACTACTAATTGAACATAAAGTAATTACAGCAACTAGGGTTTCAAATTTCAATACTTGATTTGATTTTAAGGTATTCAATAGACTTTACACAACAGGCAATATCAAATAAAGTAATTGCAGCAACTAATTGGGAGAGAAATAACTGAAGAAGAAGAAGACAATAACCTGTTATCTTCTTCCACAAGTACAGAAGGCCCAACATACTTCACACGATCCCCTGGTTTAAACCATATAAAAAATAAATTAGATGTTTCCAAACAAAAAAGAATTTAAAGTTAACTACTTAATAGAAAATGATAATCTACCTTCTTTAAAGGCTCCTTTATGTCCTCAGAACACTCGGTGTCCTGTTTTGATGATTCAGGAGGAATCTCCCCAACATCAGCGATGTTCTGTTATAGATAGAAGTGTGAAATGAAAATTTTGAAATAAGGTAATTAACTAATTACAAATGTACCCTTATCATGTAAGGTCTTACTTTTGTAAAATCTTCAAGGTTCCCAGGAACAAGTTTCTTGAAAGATAACTGAGATTGATTCATCTGTAGCAATGGAAGAAAGGATCTCAAGTTTTATAGATTTGACTTGATATGCATCTGAAGTGTTTATAAAGAGACCTTCTGAAGGTGATGACGTCTTGGCCAATTTTATACCAATTTCTTTTGGCAAGACACTTTTTGTTCCTTGGAGTTGTCATATACTTGGCAGCAACTTGTCTTGTCTTGGCCACAGGGATAGAACCAACTTTTGAACCAGGTCTGATATTGCTTTGTTGGTCACATATCTTTTGAGAAATCGAACAAGAAACACCTACTAACCTTGGTATCCTGGGCTTTGAAGGTTTTGCAGGAGCTGAAAGTGGACATTTCATGCTAACAACACCCACACATACAACCACAACCACCTAATGGTTGTGGGTGGTGGTAGAGAAACACGTCGGTAGCCTAGGCTGCCGGCCACGACGGTAGGTGGTGCTTGACGTAAAAAACAAAAAAGAAGGAGAAGAAAAGAACAGGAATCGATACCTTAGGATAGAGCAAAGTTTGTCTTGAGGTCCTCTTCCGTCTTCTCCCTCGACGGTGACTCAAAAATCCGACAACCCTACACAAAAACTCGAACAACTCCCTCTCTAGCCACTAAGACGAACGAACGGAAGATTAGGGTTATTTTGGGATGCTAAGGGTTTGGTTAGAGGGGATGTAAGAGCTAAATATATAAGAAATCGGCCCTAACATAAGAGCCCAAGGGGATATCTACATCAAAATGAGCCTTTCATCTCAAGGGTACCTGACGTCAACATGTGGCTGCCAATTAGGGTTTTTTTTCATGTAAAGGATGTAGTTGGAGCTTTTCTTGCAGATTAAAGCCCGAGTTGTGTTGGACGAAAGAAGAAGGGTTGGAGGTGCTGGATGTAGGTGAAGATGAAGGCCCTAGGGTTTCTTTCTAGCTAATTGAAAGATTAGCATCGATGGAAGAAGGTGGAGGCATCAGTAGAGGGAATAAGGGAGACTGAGAGAGGAGCAAATAGGCGGGGGGGGGGGTTTAATTTTTGGGATGCCATTTTATAATAAAACGACATGTTTAGATGACGCATATTTTATAATAAGCGCCCTCCGCGTTTTTTTTTTTTTTGGTGAGACACTAATTTTGGGGCACGCAAAAATGCGCATCCTAAATTCTTCAAATTTCTAAAGATCTGACATTATTTTTAGGGCACACGCTTTTGCGTATCATTAATCAGTGCGTGTCGTAAAAAACACGTCATTAAATGTCTGTTTTCTAGTAGTAATTTATAGGAAGTTTCCAAGTAAGAGAAATTAACAAATACACATGAACACAAGATATTAAAATTTCGTTCAGATACATATATAGCCCTATTTTGAAGACTTGCAAATGTATTTTCGAAACGAGTTGCAAAATCTAATAATATTTTTCTAAAACTCTAATGTTTTTCCAACGAGACTCCATATAAAATGAAGCATGATCTTGTGTGTAGACTCCACACTTGAAATAATGGGATGTTCCACTGTGTCCACATCCCTCATACTTGAGAACTCCATCCACATAAACTTTGACGTTGTTTTGTTCAACATCATGGATAACATTGAAACGAAACCATTTGTTATATAAATCAGGAATGATCATAGGATCCTTGTAATAATAAAGGCTACTGTTATATACTCTTAGCATTGTGGTTGTAGCGTTTGGTGGGGCTGATCCAAAAACTTGCATGATACTCACCCCGGTAGTCCCACATGGCACATATCCATATCCTTCAAATTGCCAAACACCCGAAGAGTAGTCATAACCCTTCAAATAAGAGAACAAAAATGTATTTATCAATTTACTTAGAGCAACTACACTACATAGTTTAATAAGACAATTAAATGAAGTGGAATACCTAGTTGACATTCAATGGACTATATCCAATTATAGTGACATGCCATGTTAGCATTGGATATAAAATTAAACTCTCAAACAGGAAAATGAAACTTTTAAAGTTTAAAATAAACATTTCATTGAACTTTTGTTAAGTTTAATTCATTGTACTGATAATACGACAATACATTAAAATCTATAGAGTTCATTGCATTGAAGTTGTCCTTGGAGTCAACATTTATATAATTCAGATATAAAATAAAAAAATGATTAAACCAGGACAATACTTGAATGCGGATCTCAGAACGTGGATTAGTATTGCTAGTTTCAGAATGAGGTTTGTCTGTCTTGATCACCCAAAGCTTATGAACACCATGGGAATAGCTGTATCGTTGCTCAAGTGGAACATCATATGGCTTTTGGATGATGAAATTGGACTCATTGAGTGGCTTTGATACAAACCCTAACGTGGTATCAATGGTTTCAAACCCTACTATAGATATATATAGGAAGAGATTAACAAAGGAAACACATAACTCAAAATATATTAGATATTTCATCTTTTGATGAAGATGTTTAATTGGATGACTATGATAGACCGAAAATATATATAAGAGGGATGTATGAGTTGTTAGTGTGTTTTGTGTATATATGTCATAGCATATTACAGATAATGACAAACTAATAAAACATAATTACTTAGTTTAATTATAATCAAATTTGATAATGTATATCGTAACAATATCTATGCTAATATAATATCTAATATTCTTGTTCAGTTTTGATCGATTTACCTAATATAAATTATTGATAATATTTGAAAATTTTAATATTGTTTTTATTAAACTATGTTTTTCGTCCAATCGTTTTGTTTTCCTGAAAACAATCAAACGTATTAGCTATTTTAAATAAAGTTAAACAAGAAAAATATGACTAATATATATAAAGTAAATAGTTTATTTTTAAACATAAAAAAATAATACAATATGTGGCAACACTTTCTACCAAATATATTTTTATGATATAAAATTATAAATTATTTAGCAAAAGCCAATGTAAATATCGAAATGGTCGGCAAAGGCAACCTTCCGCCGGTTCTTGTCGTTATCAGTTACATGTTTACACTTTTATAGTTCATTAGTTCTACCATTTATGACATTTCTGTTATTGTTATTATTACCTAACATAAATCCAATCAATGTTTTCTTTAATCAAATTGTTATTACCATCTTTCTCTTGTTTCAAAATGCCGTTTATGTTAGTTTATTGAGTAAATTACACGAATGGTTCCTACAAGGCCGACCTTAGTGTGTAAATAATTAAGCCCTTGCTTAGGCCCCCACTTCTAAGGGGCCCCACTTAACCCAAACCTCAATTAGGGAATAATTAAGTGTCGATTAAAATTCTCCAATTTCCATTCGTAAATCGCACACATCGGCTGCAGAAATCAATTAACCAAACGATCGGCGCTATCTACTGAATGCGACTCATAGACTCAACGATTGTTCTTCAATTGTTCTTCTTTCTCTGTCGTTTGAATCTGATTAATTGATTCTTATTCTTCAATCTGATTTTTTGATTGTTCAAAAATCAGAAAAAAGTGGTTACCTCCATTGTTGATTGACTTGATTCTTGTTTCTGAAAGGCTATCAAGTGTCAAGACTCAAGAACTCAATTGATTTGGTGATTCCTGAATTTTGAAAAGTAAGTTCTTCTTCCATTCTTGTTCTTCTTCGATTTTTCATCTGATTATCTATGACTGTGGTTTGTGAATTTGTGAAAAATTGATAATCTATTATCTATGTTAATTTTTGTTATTTTGATGAAGTTAAATTTGTTTGATGCACTACACCAAATAGAGTACAATTATTTTGATGAAGTTAAATTTGTTTGATATACAATAATACAATATGCTGTAATTTATTTTTGATTATGTAGTAATGCTAGAAATATTTTTATTTTCTTCACGAAAGAAAGAAATAAATTTGTTTTTTTATTAGGGTTAATAGAGCTTAATTTTTTTAATATTGACTTGTCAAGTTGGAATTTGGAATTTGGAATAGGTTTCTTATTTGTTATGTTATATGATTTGTCAATTGAAAAACAGTTAGTAAAAGAAATTGATTATGAAAATTTCATTAAAGAATTTTCATCTAAAAATGCTAGAAAAATTAACTTTATGTCATAAAATATATTCACAACAAACATATACATAAACAAAAAAAATAATTAACTCCGCCATTTGTAAACTTTTTAGTTTATTATTGCCGGTCCCAAGACCTGATAAAGGAGGAGGGTTTATAACATTAAGTATACTAAATGTCAAAGGGCCCCAAATTTTTGGTTTGCTTAGAGCCCCCAAACTGGTTGAGCCGGCCCTGGGTTCCTACGGTTTAGAGTAATTTGCTCGTTTGGTTCCTAACTTATTTTTTTAACTCGGAAGGTCCATACTGTTTGTTTTTGTTACACGCTTGGTCTCTGTCTTACCTAAAAAATCTATTTTGCCATTGATTTTTTAATTTATTTAAATAAACACACCTCCAACCCCATCCCCTCAATCCCCCATCTTACCTTACCCACCCCACCATTTTTCTCTATTTAAATAATAGTATGTTAGATAAGACAGAGACCAAGCGCGTAAAAAAAAACAAACAGTAAGGACCAAGTGCATAACAAAAACAAATAGTAGTGACCTTCTGAGTTAAAAAAATAAATTAAGGATCAAGTGTGCATATTACCCCAAACCATAAGGATCCTTCGTGTAATTTACTCTAGTTTATTTGAAGAATTTCAACAAAAAAAAAAACAATGTAGCTGATATGTTTATTAATGTATACTCATAAAATAATTATCAGGGCAATTTGTTGATTTTTGAGGCTCTGTACGAATGAGCCCCCAAACATATAATTCTTTTTATATAAACAAAAGTCATTAATATTATGATAAAAAATAAAAAAAAAAACTGATTAGTTAGAAAGAAAAAAAGCATAAAGAATAAAAATAGTTGGTTAATAAAAAAGGGAAGAAGATTGATTAACACGAAAAAAAAAACAAAAGTTAAGTCAAGACAAACTCGAACATTGGTCACTTAGGAAGGGGAAGTTAAGAAGTGATCTCTTGGCCATGTGACCTTCAAATAAATAGTAGGTACTTCTGAGGAAGTGTATCTTATCTCATACATGAAGGAGATAAGACATAATATCTCAGTTGTACTAGTAGAAACCACTAGAAACTCAGCTTCTTATGAAAGAAAGAGCAAAGGTTCTTTGGAGTTTAGAGCTCCATGCAATTGGATTTAGTCCAAGGTAGATGACGTAGCCTGTTGTAATACATAAATTATCTTAGTCGTCTGCCCAATGCATGTAACCGTACGGAGGAGTCACGGTATAACATGATATCGTGGTTGCTTGTACCGTTGAGGTACTATAATAAGCGATCGAGAGCGGTCTAGTGATCTGTGGTAGGCTAATGCATGAATTATGAGGCGGCACC